TCTTGATCAATAATAATAATCTAATTGCGATTCGATTTGAATCAATTATAGATACATAAGGAGAGAGATTGATTGAGAACTAATTATTCAGTTTTTTAAAAGCTAAAAAACTTGAAAAAAAGGTAGATAAAGGTAGAGAGAGAGAGAGAGAGAAAAAAAGCCTATGAGGCGAATCAATTGATTATATATCGATTCATTTCGTTCAATCGATCGATCGCTGATGATGATAATGATAATAAAGTCATTTTTGAAAAAAATTTTGCAAAAAATTTCACCAATTTCCACTATGATTTTTTTGATAAATAATTTTCTTTTCTGTTTGAAAATGAAAAATTTCCATTTTATCCAAACGAAAAAGCAGCAGAATTAATTGCCATTTTCAATGTTTTTCTTCAGCATTTTGTTTTTTGTCCTTTAACATCTTTATCTGCTTCATCATCATGATATGCTAGCTAGGTATAATTTTTGGGCGCCTTCGAATATCTTTTCTCTCGATTGCTCGATATTGACTTGGTTGGTTGTGAAACCCTAAAATTAGCATCGAAAATTCGTTGTTGTTGTTTGGAAAACAACTGTTATGGAAGGAGAGAAAAATCATTCATTCATTTTAGATTCCTTTTCTTTCTTCTGAATGAAAAAAAAAATGAATGATTACCATGATTGAATTGATGAATGAATTTTTGCCTGATGATGATATATATAGGTTGTTGTTGTTGTTTAAAAAATCAAAAAATCGAAAAAATCATCAGCAGTGGAAACACGAAACATAGCCTAAACAAACCCTATCTTTATTCGTCCTATGATTATCTTGTTTTTGATAACTTTATCAATGGGAAAATTTTCAACTTGCGAGGATTGGTGCCGAGCGAGTGAGAGAGAGAATCCGAAACATCTTTATTCGGTTGTTTCGGGAAAAAAAAACTTTAATTTCATTAATTACACCTTGATGAAAATAAAGAAAATTGTAAATTTTTTTTGTTTCAAGTTTTCAAGTTTTCAAGTTTCTTCTTCACCAAACATTCGATAATTTAGGGTGATGATTATCATTATTTTTGGTGATGCGGCTGCTGCTGCTGCTGGACATACATACATACATCATCAATGAAGTGAATTAAAAAAGAATTAAAGTTTTTTGTTTCAAACTTTACATCATGATTATCATCAGCATCATTGAAGACAAGACAAGATGATAACTTAATTTGATTTTCAAAAAAAATTGGTTAATTTTATTCGAATGGAAAGAAACAGAAAAATTATTGGGAATGATGAATATGATGATGATGATGTGAGAGATGTTTGTATGTATGAATTAGCCATGCGAGAGAGAGAGAGAGAGAGAGAGAGAGAGAGAGAGAGAGAGAGAGAGA